GACATCTGCTCTAATGAAAGAACGTTTAACAGACATTAGTCGTATTTTTTGATAATCTTATTGATTTTGATCTAAAAACTGGAATATCACATAAATGACTTGATAAGTAGATATCTTCCATTGAAGATGCATTCACAGCTGTAATATGGATTTATCTATGCATTTAGCGAATCTTCATTTGGAGACAGTGTATATGTACTAAAAGAGTCAAAATGTTGCTCATATCCTATTCATCCCACATATTTCAATTTCATGAAGAACATTTCAATTTATGCTTCCACAGGAATTCACCGTGATACAAACATTGTTTGTTATATCTGTCGTGAACTATCAGAGGGTGTCTACGAACCAAAACAATACTAACTCAATTTGCTTTTTTCACATACAAACTTACCACAGGAATCATTTGTGCATCTCTCAATTACTTGCACTTGATAAACACATCGATCAATTATCACCTATACCTTATCTTATCTCACAGATTTTTATTAATCTTCGAGCGCTGAGGATATAATCTATCAACTTTCACTGATAGGGTATTAGCTGTCGACATATCGTCTCTTCTTGATAAAATATCCTTTGAAATCATTTTGTTGCATCAGATTAGAACAGTTCCTTACGAGTTGAGATTTGCTCGTCAGTCTTCATTGTTGCTTGAATTCCTAACAAATATATGCTGTATCGTTGCTTCAGTGGGCGAAACTGGAAAGCAGTTTCAGATTGCGATTACTTCATTAGATTAGATTTCATATGGTCGTAGACCTTTGTTTTGAAATTGTTAACTTGACATTGAGGGAGTGATAATATGTGTGAGGTTCTATGTTCATCATCGTATTTCGCAATAGCTTTGATCATATTTTTGGCTTTTGAGCTAGATTTCTCATGTTTTCAATAATTTTTCAGCTTCAGTTCCACGACTTCTAAAGTTTGGTTAGAATGTGGCCAGCGATTCCTTTGAACACTGTTATTATTTTATCGTTATGTGAATTATCATTTCTTGTTGACTTCAATAACGCTCAGCCAGATCCATCGTTGGCCGCTGGTGAGATTGAGAGTTCTACAGAAAGTGGTGAGTTGAATTTTGAGGGAGTTTGAATTTAGTGGTGAGTTCAAAAAGTTCAAACCTGGAATTAGTACACAATCAAATGAATTACAAATATTGTCCTGTCAGTCGGATGGCCAAAATTTATCATCAGTCTCGTATTCGTATATAGAGTCATGAAACTAGTAACTATAGACACACTAACAAATTTTTTGATGATACGGAATAATAAGGTGTCTGAACGATATTCGAGTGCTATGATATCGAATCAGAATTGATAATAAGAACAACGATAACAGCAGTAAACGATGATAATAATAGTACTAGTAATATCAGTAATATCAATAATATTAATATTTCGTATTTAGATGAGCCAGAGTGTTCCTTATCGAATATACGTCAGATGCTTGGCCATGATGACTTCTCATTGCTGGGCATCTCGGCGAACTGCCTGATATTCTTCGTGACTGGTGATGAGATTGCAGAGGGTCATTTTGATTTATCACGGATTACTGATAAGCCTGGCAAATGCAAAGATCCGAAACCAATCTTTTATAAGCAAGATAATGGTCAGTGGTTCAACTTTTGGTTGGTATAATGGCATGAGTCTATCGTCATTCCATGAAAAGCCAACCAATAAAATTTTCTGAGGAACTGACCGTAATAACATTATTGTTGTAGATTGTCTACGAAATTTTCATAGATTTTTATTCAGAAAATCCCCAAATACTGTAACATACCTCAAAAATGACTACATCCAAAGTCACACTTCTGTAAACGAAGAAAAGGGTAAACAGCCATAATCAAAGAAATCAATCCACAAACAAACAAACACCTTGTAAATAATATTATGTATTCCGTTCAGTCGAACGAAAATTCTTCATTTCATCACCAGCTAGTGAAATCGCCCTATTGATGAGTACATCAGAACATAGATATTTCATAACGTTTGATGCAAATGGTCGTCAAACTTCGGACATATTCACTGAAAACTTCAAAAAGTCAAAAAGTTTGCTAATTGGTGAAGATCAATTTGAGGNTTCATAACGTTTGATGCAAATGGTCGTCAAACTTCGGACATATTCACTGAAAACTTCAAAAAGTCAAAAAGTTTGCTAATCGGTGAAGATCAATTTGAGGGTGCGGTGAAAGTAAGGTTGTCACGAAAGAACTGACCCAACTCAACTTTATCATTATACCTCTTGTGTTCACGTTGAATTTTGGGTATTCATGTGGAATTTCAGAATACAAAATTCTGGTTGCTCAGAAGAAGTCAGTTTACACTTCGGGCTGTAAGTGGGAAGAGCACCAATCTTATCACAGCTGCAAGTTCAGTCGATCGGCATGGATGAAAAAATCGGTAGCTCCAGATGGAGACGTTGATGAGATTATCGGGCACGTAACAGACCTGAATACAGATATTTTACATATTCTCTACACTAACGGTAATAACTCTTTATAACTTAACATCCATCATAACACAATCCATTCATCCTAACAATCAATATCGCTCACGTTGTCATTGAGTGAGATTTGTTTTGTAAATGAAAATAAACACCAGACAGAATACCATCTGATGTGATAAAATTTACAAAATATTGCTATCCATCCTTCCATTCGGCAAATACATCTCTTGAAGTAACCATCTCCTTTTTAATCTCCATATGAACAACATCATCTTATCATCTATATTTTGCAAGTATTAAGTTGATTTGCCTCAAAATGAATGCAATTATATTAATCGTAAGGAAAAATATTTGAGTCATCATCATTTAAGAAGAAGCTTCGATGTTCGATGCAATGTATAATATATCATCACAAAATTTCGTCGCTACTGCAAAAATTGATGAAGCCAGTTTCAAAATCAGTTCATTCGATTCGGATTTAATGGTCAGTGACGACTTCGAAAAACTTCAGACTATTTGATCTTATTGATATTGATAGTCTGCTCTATAGTCAATTATTTCTAGTATGTATAGAGTTTTGTACTAATAATGAGCAAATATCTAGCTGTTCTGCTTAGCGCAAACGAATTTCAAATGTTATTTGAAGATTGGATTATATATTTCAGCGCATTTACTATGAAGCAGATAAACTGGGTTACGAGAAC